TTCGCTCTTTCGCGGGTGAGGATAAGTCATCATCAAATCCTATCATCAAGTCACCAGATTCTACGTGTTTTGACGTTGATGGCAGCGATTTGGTGATAGGATTTGGTGGTGACTTATCTTCACCTCTTTCGCGCTAGAAATTCCTTCCATGGCAGTCGCAATGGCTATGGGATTGCCTCTTTGATACACATTTCTAGTTTCTGATTGGTCCGTTCAAGCGACATCAATCGTGAAAATTATATATAGAAATTCGTATTTATGGAAATTCAAGACGATTTTATTTTTATACAGTGGGAGAATCGGTGAGGAATTTCTGTACACTAGAAATGTTTCAGCGATTTTCCAGTTGATTTTCTATAAATTGAAAATTAATTCAAGATTACAGTGTACAGTCTGACACAATCATAATTATTCTGTCAGAAGTTTGTGATGGATTTTTAGAGACACCAAATTTGAACTCAAGTTCTAAAATGTCTCATGGACACAATAATACTGTACATGTCAAGGCTTTGATAATTTAGACAAGAGTGTTATTCTGATTTGGAAATGCGTACGTACTCTGTGAAAGAAAATATGTAACTTGTGTCAAGTTTTTATAAAAGGAAAATATACATCATGATATACGGGAAATCCTATGAATATGTGAATTGGCAAAAGATTTTTTAATTCATTCATTTTTAGATAAAACTTTTATTTAACAGTGTTTTACTAAACAGTATCATGGTTGATGTTAAATTAGTCTATGAAATTGTTCAGCAACAAACTGATCCAACGTATGTTTATTTCTTAATATATACGATCAAATCTACATTTGTTTTTCCTCTAGAGAACTCACTATTCGGCAAGAAGTCGATTTAAATTGTACAAAAGTTGGAGAGACAATTCAACAACATTCAACAGAATTGGATCAGTTAAAAGATGTTGTTGTGCAAGTCGTTGAAGAAATTGAGGTGAGAGATTTTGCTATGAGGACATTAGAGTAACTATATTCTACTTTTATTGATTTGTTACAGAAAAAAAAATCCAAAGAAGAAGAAAGTGACGATGAAGACGATATGCCATTAATTTCTTACGTTAAACTCAAACCGAGTAATGATGATGTGACACCGACAAAGAAAAAATTGTTGGACAATATCAAAGTTTCAAAATCAAAGGATGTGCGTGAAGAAGATAATAAATTGGATGGTGCTAGTGTGATAAGACGTACGCGCGAAGAAAATATAATAACAAATAAACAAATTTCAAAAACACTGTCACCGTTATTTTTACAAAATATGCGAAGTTGTGGAATATCGTCCGATTGGATAATGAAACGTTCAACATCCTATCGTAAACGATATAATGCATCAACTGTTAAACGTAAAACAAGTACATTGGATGCTTTAATCAAAGATGTTTCATCTAAACAAATTAGATCAAATAGAAAATTAAATTTCAATGATGAAAATGTTAATTTACAACGACAACGATCAATAAGTGAAACACCGATATTTAAACATCAGAATGAGGATGATGAAAAGAAGAAAGAAGAAGAAGCTGTAATTGCGACGAACGAAGAAGCTGTAATTACGACGAAAGAAGAAGAAGAAGCTGTAAATGCGACGAAAGAAGAAGCTGTAATTACGACGAAAGAAGAAGAAGAAGCTGTAATTGCGACGAAAGAAGAAACACCATATGATAATGTTGATGAAACATCGAAAGATGCATCAGCCCAAGAATTTGAAGTTCGTCCATGTAAAGTTGTCGTAAAGCGAGTCGAAGTGAATGAGAACGAACAACTAGAAATAGCACCACCGTTGACTAATAAATCGAAAGTGTCCAAAAAGTCTCTATTAAATGGTAAAAAAAAACGAACAACTAAATCAAAAACATCACAAGAAAATAACGATGATGATGATGACAGGTTACTAATTACTTATGTGACTCCTCTTAAGGTACTAATATATGATATCAGTTTTCAAAAATTGATGTAAATTAAATCTAGTATCGATCTCGTATTTAGCATTCCTGCGTTTTATTTGTTTTGTTTCCTAGATTAAGATTGGAGAATTACTTGCTATATTTTGTTTACCTTAAGAAAGAAGAAAAAAAGAATGTGGACGACAGTAATAATCAAATTGATCATTTGAAAAAATTATTGCGTACATCGGGCATTCGCTTGATTGTTAAAAAAGCTGAATTAGAACAACATCCATCCATAAAAGATAAAATTAAATATTTAAAATCATTATTTGAAAAAGCAGGTTATACAGGTTTGTCATTTCAAAACTAATCTATGTATCCCACGTAATGTTAATTTTCCATTTTTTTAACAAAAGGTGGTCTTAACATGAAAGAATGTCAACGTTATAGAGAAAAGTGCGACGGTGAAAAAGAATTAGCGGATATTTCCGAAAGAACAACAGAAAATATCCAAGGTAAAGATATATACAGAGAAGGAAAAGTATTAGCACAAATTTATGCCCAACTCATCGGGAAATTTTGTCAAAAATTCACGAACTAGTACTTGTGGTTTCCTCCAAAATTCTGTAGCTATAGCGAGTAAATCTCACTGATTCGGGATCATTCATTTGCAATATTAAACATAAATATCTTCATGGAAGTTCACACATGAAAAAATCTTAGCGAATAATAAAATGCCACGGAAAATTTTTCACAAGCTCGAACAATTTACGCATGGTCACAAGTGCAAAAAAAATTCTCCCATATACGCGCAGTATTATTGATCGAATCTCTCTGTGGGACTATACTTAAACTTTTAGCTCATTTCTCTATAGGTTATGTCAAAGCTGGTCGTACATTGCGTAAACGTAATGATTCGAGTCCATCTTTACCTGTCTCTTCGAGGAAAAGAAAACGGATCTTGAGTGATCAAGAAAGTGAAGATGATGATTCCAATAATGGTGAGACGAAACAGAAGAAGAAAGAAGTCAAAATTGATTTATCACTAAATGAAAACGTTCAGGAAAAGCCAGTTACTCAAAGTGACGACGTTGAACAAGTTTTATAAATAAGTATTGGCGCTTTTTGACACTTTAATTTTACTCAGGCTTTTTGTGTTCGTCTTCTATCCTACCTTTAATATGTTTATTTTTGGCTATGGAAGGTGACTAAAGTTAACTTTCACTTTTATCTTGTATTTTTGTGTCATATTTTGTTTAATGGACAACGGTTTTTGTAGTAAACATATTTTACTGTGTCATATTTTGTTTTTTACATGGTTCGATAACTGTAAGTCTGCATCAGACTATAAGATACTGTTTAATTATTTATATTTCTTGTATAAACCAAACTAGATCAAATGTATATTTTTTGCTTCAGAATAAAAAAAGGGGTGATTTTTTGCGTATAAACAGAACTTGATGTTAAAGGTTATAGACATTATTTGGGAGTTTTATATAATCTCTAACACTTCCATTGAGCAGATATTCGTAAGTATATCACACTTAACTTGAATTTAATAATGAGTTGATACGTCATACTTAACCACGAAATATTCTTCAAGGGCTTTCAAGTAGAAGAAGTTTGTGCCACCTAACGAAAAATGTTAACAGAAAAATTTAGTGAAAGTTTATACTAATAAGTCATAACCGGACGCTGAAGCTATTTACAATACAATTCAGAATTAAACAGCAACAAAACTCATTACTTTTGCAAACAACACAAAATCAAGCCATCCTGTCCTCATGCCGCATGTAAAATTGTATAACTGATTATGCAATATTCAATTCTTTCTTAACTGATACGCGGTATGAATAATGTAAGAGATTTTCTTCCCGTACATTTTGAATATGGATCGGGCGAAACTCAGTAGCAATCTCTGTATATAATTCAGTCAAAGTTTGTCTGAGAACCTAGAAGTCGATTTCAACTGCTTATGCTGCAACCACGAGCTCTCGATCAACTTCCTAGACCGAGATATGATGTCTACAAAATGCAAATTTTGTTGATACATAGCACGTTTGGTGATCTTTTAGAGCTTTTGGAGCTTTTACGAAAAGTGCTATAACTCCAGAAGAAAGCACTTTTCGGTTAAAAAATTTAAATATGTTGCCTTTATCCAAGCTAAAATTTTGAATCAAAAGCTCGAATATCGATTGAGCGGTGTAAATCGCGCTTTCCGTGAAATGGCTCTTATGCTTATTCAAAACGAAGATTCTCCCCAGGTATATTTAACTCTCTTTTTACTTCAAAATTTTTCTAAACATTCAGCAAGAATGACTTGATTATTTGTTGAATTCCCGACAGAAGAAGAAACTGACTCCTGTTTTTTGTAATTTATCATCTATATTCTCATACATTCTTAAAGAAAAATACATCACAGATGATCCTCATAAAAAAAAAGAACAAAAAGTAGTAAGAATAGAAACAGCATTGGTACAGACAAAAATAAGAAAAAGAAAAGACATTAAATTATAACACATGCAATCTAACACGTCTTCTGAGTGTGAACTGCATTGATTAAGAAAGAAAAAGTAATTGGATGAGCACTTTACTTTGACCACATTAACAAAAAGAATGATTATTCTCAGGAGTATACGAGTATTCAAAAAGAAATGTACTTAACACTTATCGGTATTTGATTCTTCTTTTTCCTCGGTGGTATTTTCTTTCTTTGGTTGTTCAAAAAACTGTAATCTTTTTAAACGTAACTCTTCAATAGTTGGTTGTTGTTGTTGTTGTTCTGCAGGAACTGCTATGGTAGTAGTGGTGGTCGGTTTTTGTTCTTCTGTATTTGAAGCTGTAGAAGAATCTTTGTTTAAACTAACAGCTATTGCTTGCTCCAATAATTGCTGATTAAGATAATCGTCATTTGGTGTATTACCAAATTTTTGTGCATCAAATAAACTTTGTTGTAATATTTTTTGTAACACCTCATCTTGAGCATTATCATGTTGGACACTAGCTTCTAATGCACGTTTTAAATCTTCATCGTCATCATCATTGAACGTTTGTGTTGTTGATTCTTCAAATGGCATTGATGGAACAAGAGCTTTGGAATTGGCTAAACGTTCAGTTAATTGGTTATAAAGTTTTGGATCCACGGGCGCTTCTGATAAACGCTCATCAGCTACACAGGGTGGTAAAACTCCATTAACAATAAATATGCTATATCCACTATGTTGTAATTGCACTAAATATAACGATAAATATGTATTCGAGATTAATTTCGGTACAGCTGATATCGAGTTTAAATCGAAATATTGTAAGCCAAAACGTCGAATTGTTAGCCAATGTTCACGTAAATTACATATATAAGCTGTAATATTTGTTGGCGTTTGCCGAGCTTGTTCAGCAATTGCCTCTGAACTGTTATAAGATATTAGCTCGATGTCAAATACTTCAAGAGCACGTTGTAAAACCTGAATAGAAAAAAATCCTGTATCATCCATATTCTGTGATTCACGTATGTGTGGTTGTTGATGGTGTGACTCAGCACCGGATAAAAATAAATTTTCATCATCATCCAATTGCCTAGAAAATATTTAAAAATAAAAAAATGTCCGACAAAAAGTTTTACAAATTTACTTTGCAATATCGGCTAGTGAAATAGCGGAAAAAATTTCTTTTTGAAGCAAATTGTTTAAAGCGTGTTGTGCACATCTAGAAAAAGAAAAACCAGTGAGAAGAGATTAATTAAAAGAAAACATAAAGATCGTCTTACAAAGCTCCTTCTTGTTTTTCATGATAAATTCCAGTAAGATGTTCAATCTCATTCATGATTGCAGTTTCTTAGATCTAGAGAAAACAAAACAACAACAACATAATAACAGTTACAGGGTTCGTATTATTAAAAATCAAAAAGTAGGAGTAGAAGAAGGATTTTGAACTCCGTTATGGGTAGAATTTATATCAGAAAGTAGAATAAATGTCGAATGTGTGAAAAAAGGCGAGGAAACGTTTAAACTGTCCACTGCTTGGGTATAATGAGATCCGTTAACTATAATTCATATATATTTTTCATTTTCAGTGAATATATAAATTAAGAATCTTCGGTAAAGAGTTTGCACGTTTTTAATATTCTATTGCAACTGACAAAGTAAACAAAAAAAACATAAACAGCAGGAAACTATAACCACTTTTTTTATGTATGCAGTATACGAAACCAAAAAGTCTTAAACAGAAGATACTTTTGAAAATTAATCGGCGTTTTTCCCCACAAAAAATGGCGTCTACTTTAGTGCATTAGTTCCACTTCTCTTTCTTATTTTTTCGTTTTTCACAATTCAAGAATACGTTAATTAAGTAAGTTAAAGTTAATTATCAGTATATTTCCTTCAAATTATGAATACGAAAACATGATGAAGGGAAGACGAACTCGCATGCGGAATATATTAATGTGCTTTGTTTCAAACCATAACGAATTTTTTGCTCGATATGTTTGAATAGATTAATACGTGAAGAAGTTTTGAAAACTGGAATTTTAATATTCTGAATGTTATATTGAGGAATGTTAGAACTGAATGTATAGTTTTGCAAAGAATTAAATTTTTCATCTTTTGATTATAAAAAAGTGCATTCATAATAGACCATATGATTTTTTTTTCGGGCAAATTAACATAGAGAACTAAAATATTTGAGATAAAATATCAAAAAAGTAAACACATGAAAGTCATACATCATGGTGTTACTAATAAAATGAAAACTGATAAAAACCTAGAACAGCCAAATTTTTTTACGTAAAAATTTACTAGAAAAATGAAATAACCTGAAAAAGTAGGAAACGTAGGATAAAATCCCGAAAGTAGAATGTTTTTAGTAAAAAGTAGGATATTTACAAAGCCTGCAGTTACTGTTTGCAAAATATTGTAAACATAGTATTAAGACATTCAAATAAAACAATAAAAAGTTTTCTTTATTTTGTACAAAATGATAAAAAAATATTTTGGAAAATATTACTAAAACAAAAACGAATTTCATATCTGAAATTATTGATTTCTTTCGTTGCCTCTTGGAACTGAAGATGATCGATTTGTACTAGAAACACAGAGTATAAATCAAGATAAAATTTTACGTTAGACTGAAATATAACCTTTTGGTCAGCTTAGTATTTCGGGTTCGATTTTGTGTAGCGCTTCTAACACCCGGTAGTTGTTGTGGATAATTTTGCTGCGGTTGTACAGACGAGGCGATTTTTGTATTTCTTAAAAATAATTTTTGAATTATAAAGTACTTTTTTCATCATTAGTTGAAAAGTTTAGTGAACGGGTCGTCTGATATTATAGGAACCTAAACGATCTATTTTTTCTTCTGTCAGTTACAAATTGTATGTACAAAGATATCGTTTCAGTCAAGGTGTCTTTTATTTTATTTAATGGGAAGGAAACATCAGTTATTAAGAAGTTGTTGTTTATAGGTGTCATCAATGAGAGATAGGTAATAATTTAGATTATGATGAAGAAAAGAGATAAGATGTCTTCCTTAAAAAATGGAAAATTTGTCCTACTAATTAAGATTCAACAAAATGAGCATTAAAGCGAATAAACGATGTGACTAATGTAGATATTATATCGTTCTGTTCAAGCCGAGTAAGTTGAAGCGAGGTAGTCAGTCTGCATAGCTTATCTACCGCAAATCAAGCATCTGTGACACTTGATTGATGAACTTTCGGAAAAAAATTTGTTTTTTTTATTAAACGTTGCATACTTGACCGCATTTTTTCGTTGAAAAACTTTTTCTGGATCGAACTCGATTAACGACGACGATTTTGTTGTTTGATCATTCTCATTTGAATTGTTGTTTGAATTTGTGAACAATGCTGGAACAAGCATATAATACCAATGCTATAAATGCAAAGAACAATCATTTTTTTATATATTTCTTAGCTTCATCGATTGTTTACCAGTATATAGGGTGGTATACCAAAATCCGTATAATTATAATGCCAAAATGGTAGGCCACAATGCAATAGGAGTAGACGATAATATTCCGTAAATGTATCGGCTAGATGATGGAATTTCAGTGAACGATCCAAAAACCAAATGCTACTTTTGGATGACTACAACTCAAATGATACCAAATGAAGGAATTCATTATCGTATTAATAAAACTACAAGTGAATATGTCTACATTCTTTGCACGAAAAATCAACATACGTCTGCATTAATTACTAGGCTCACTCTTCCATTACCATCACATGGATCAAGTTCAAAAATACGATTTTCTTCAGTATTAAACAACGGATAGTGCGTAACATCTAGAAAAATAACCTACAGCTAAAATTAATTATAATGATGTTTAAAAATGAATGAAATATCTTCCTACCGTTAACGGAAAAATCATTCAGATCATCTAATGTTATGCCTTTGGCATTTTTTGAGAAACCAATTCGGTTTAAATCAATTATACCATTTATAAACATTTTTCCTATGAAAACAGGCGCACTATCTTAAGTAAAAAATAAAATATATGACTTAAAGAAAACAATGTACCTTAACGAGTTTACTTACTTTCTGCTTTTACTAGCCACTTTATTTCCATACCATCGGACATAAGATAAAACTGCTTGAGATCATTTGGTAGGTGACAGGAATTCTTCTAGAAAAATGAACAGATGGTTCAAGAAATGTGAAAAAATACTAGTATAAAAATTTTAATAGTTTGATTTCTAAAAGTAGCGCGTACATACTTCTTCCCATCGTTGAATTATATCAATAAAACATGGTGGTTTATCTTTGACCATAACATGATCGATCTCAGGACGTTGTTCTAGAAAATAAAAAAATGTTAACGAAAAACTGAAATAAAAGAAAAAACTCTTGTTCGAACAGAATATATACCTAGATATTTAATAACTGCTGCTATTCCTTCGTCCATTAAGAATAGAGAAAATTAGCTCGTTCGATAAATATCGTCGATCAAATTATCTGAAAACAAAATACTCTAAAGTATACCCAGAGGACGTGAAAATAAAATACTCTCGTGACTTTGTATCATTGTCACTCACATCAAACTGTAGCTACGGCATAATCTATATTTCAAATGGGATAAATATCCAGATTACACTACGTATCTGAATAGAATATCTTTGGAATACATTTCCATTTTGGATATATAACCTGATCGATTTCATAGTTTACATACATCTAGTTCAGGATATAAAATTATCAAACTTCGACTCTCGGTAGAAAAACACGAATTGTTTAGACATAGGATATAAGATTCTAATTTCCATTATTCCCACTTGTGTATTAGTTGAATCAAAGTATTTGGACAGACGATCAGAGGATAAAGTATTCATTTCGAATCGAATAAAAATAATGTCAAGTTAATATGGATAAATATGTCTTGTCTCACTTAATGTGTATATGACAAACAAGGTTATACCAAATAAACAAATTTCGTTTATTTTATTTTATAAACGACATAACTTCTTAGAAAAAACATGTACAAAAAATAACCGTAGGTGTCGACTAAAAATATCGTATACAAAAAAATGGGAATTCGACATTTGTCGATCATAATAGGACTATGGTTCATTCATTTATGGTTTTTTGTTGTTTCTTTTGATATGCATACATCTGTTCCAAAACTTTCTCTTCTTCTCTTAATCGTTTTCTCTCTAACATACTCTTCACCAATTCATCCTACAGGAAAAAGGGGAAAGTTATAACATTTATTTAAGTCAAATTAAATAAAAGTAGTATTTAGATACAGGCGTAGTTAGAAACTCACCTACAAGAAAAACTTTTAATATTCGCACAATGTCATTTTTATATGAAATCTTGTTCATTCTTTTTCTAGAAATTTGACTTACTCGTTCAGGATTTGGAGGTGGATGGTATTTTTTTCTCGATTCAATTAATTTATCTTTGAATAATTCTGGACGACTAAACATGAACATTGCAGTGATAGGAAAACTAATATAAAGTGCCATTTTGACTACTTCAAGATGCCAAGTACCCATCTAAAACAGAGTTTTCATTATTGTATTTACATTTAGATGCTCCTAACGAGATGGATGCTACATGTAAGTAATCTAATAACAGATTGTGTTAATTTCTTGTACTTAGAACTTTCTTAGAATCGCGTACAACTTTGTTTCAGAATCATTTATAAACAAAGAGGCTGTTAATTTCCCACTTAATTTTAATGACATACGAATGTACATATTTCATATAAAAAACATGACGGTAAAAGTGTTTCTTACTTAATCTTAGAAACACATGATCGCACGATCCCAGCTGAAAATTCGCCTAAGAGTCTTCCTGTGACTTCACCATAAACCTGTGTTAAGGATTATCCCATTAACTTCTATTGATACTACTTATTGCATGTTGAACTGCAGAGTTGAAAAACGTCCATAAGTTCTCGGTTAGTGACAGATCTCAAAACTTTCTGGGTGAATTAACTGTAATTGAAGAAAAGTTTTCTGAAGAGCATGATGGTGTTAATTGAGGAAGCATGAAAATTTCGGTTACAAGATGCTATAATCGTACTTCTACCTGTAAATCCGTTACTATGATAGATTTAGTTTTTTCGCCACTTAGAAGGTTGTAGCAATTTTCGAAAATTTTATTAGTTGAAATAAAAGAAAGAACAGAAAAAAATATCTTTAAATAGTTCTTTTGATATAGTATATGCAGATGGAAAACTATAGAAAAAAAAGCTTAGGATAGCTACGAAATCACGACAGACAGACAATGGCAATTAGTTAAAGATGAGAAAAGAAAAGGAATAACCAATAATGATTAGAGTAAAACTTTAGATAAAGTAAAAAATGAGTGAACGCGCTAAATCCCCAGGAAAAATAATAAGACAACAACAGCATCAACAATACACAATAGATTGTTTTATAAAAGTAAGAGCAACAATAACAATAACAGATCAATAAATAAGGAATAGTTGAGAAAATTATATTTATTCGCTATTACTATGGATACTATCAGTAATATACATATTTACAAATAGAGATCAGATAGTAATAGACCAAATAAATCAAAATGAATCCACACAGCTATACGTTACCTTTTCGTACAAGAATTCAGCAAATGCGACGTAGAAAGAAAAAGATTTGACCGTTGGCAAATAACAGCTTTTAACGAGAAAATAATTTAATAAATTGAGTTTTAAGAGAGACCAACTGCAATTCACGTGTTATCTGTATATAAAACACATACAAGATTTTGTCATTATAAATTATAAAACTTTATACTTTGAAGAAAGATAACAACACCCAACATACAATAAGATGAGAAAGAAACAAAGGGCAAATACTTCCCCTAAAAGACAGTGTTAGTATTATTGTTGTGCCTGTCAGTTTGAGACGTCTATTTTAGCAATGGTGATTTTCCACTGGAACCAGGCGGGTGATGACCACTTGCGCTGCTACTATCCAGAAATGAATCACCTGTGTTATTGAAAATCAACGATTCATCACGTGTATGCATTTCATCATCAACACCACCCGATAGATGTTCACCATCAGCGTCATTAAAACTCATTGCTGATTTTGATTGGGCCATTTTTGTTTTAACAGCAGTCAATCCAGAACCCAGTTTATCCTCAAATGTCTTGAAGTAGGCATCTAAGTAGAAAAATAATATTTAATGGCCGATGTACATCTCATAGTAGAGCATACGTACTACTTCGCAATGAACCTAATTTTGTTTTAAATGTTGTATTCACAGTTTGTATCGTTGGTGTTAATTTATCAGAAGCTGTTTTTAATGTTTCTGCTGTTTTCTGATAAGCTTGTGTAGATCTAATATCGTTTAATGTTTCATTTAAATCTTGTTTCAGATCATCAACAAATCCAACTCCTAATAATTGTTTTAATTCGTGTTCACGTTTTAATTTAGCACCGAGAACCTACAAAAGACTCTTGAAATATAAATAAATTTTCAAACAAACGTTTTTCTACATACTTGTCTCAATGTAACAATTTCATCTTGCACTTTCATCAATTCTAAAAGAAAAATTTATAATGAACGTAAAGAAATTATTAGTGATTAACTGATAAAACGTACCTTGACGATAATCTTCCTCTTGTTTTAAACGATCATCTTCACGCAATTCGAATTGTTGATTATTTGCGAATGATGGAATGGATGATGCCGTTGAAGAACTTGACAAATTATTGTGCAATGCATGATCGTTATCAAATGGTTTTGGCATTTTGGTTGAATGTTCAGTATTCATAGTTTGTTAGTTATATAAGTCACAAAAATGTACTAAATAAATAATAAATATCTAAAATATGACAGAAAATGTTGTGTCATTACACGAATTGTAACGTTTCTATTGACGTCCTTTGACCAATGTTTCGTTTTTTTCACAAAGTTTTATCGTAGCACTTCAAACGGCTTTTAGATAATATAAAAGAAGCAAATGATACTATCGAATGAAGTTCTGAAATATCACTATCGATCACCACTGCTTCAGATTTTCTAAATAAGTTCTTCTTGAAGTGTTCAAAGCACTGATGGGTTTAAAACAGCCTTAGTTATAACTTGTTGGAGTTAGAACTAGTTATAACTAATTTAAATTTTGGTCAAAAATTTCAAATAGTTATAACTATCTGCCGGCGTTATAACGATCAACCCAAGTTGATAGTTATAACACTATCAACTGGAGTTATAACCTGGAATTGATAGTTATAACTCCAGTTGATCGTACTTCTCCTAATTTTTTTCCGTTCTTATTTTATGAAATTTTTATTTTCTTTGCGTCACATAATAGGGTTGTAAAATGGAAGAAAACAAAAATTGTTTGTCTGTTGAAGCAAATTTGTTTTTAGTGCCAAAACTTCTGCGCATGCAAAGCTCCTACTGTATATATCTCGCAGCTATATAGCTTAATATTTGTATATAATTCTTAATACTTAAGTAATCAGTTGTTTCTAAAACATGGTTCAAGAGCAAACAGGTAGATTGATTCGTTCATCATCTAATAGTTTAACACTTACCAAATAAGAACTTTATTTGTATCGATGATGAAAAATTATTAAGTGGTGCCAGCTAATATTCTCAAGGTTTTCGGTTAGTGATCAAGTGCCTAATGCGAACAAAATTTGCGATATCGTGTATGACAAACTAGCTACTCATCTTCAACGACTGGAAGTCATTCAAAATAAACTAGATGCATTATCAGTATGTATTGAGGAGTTACGGGTTAGGATAGAAGATCAAGAATAGTCGCAGGTTTTGTTTAAGATTTATTGAGTTTGATGAAGAAAAAAACGAGAATATAACAATAAATTTGGTCAATTTTGTTTTTAATTCATTAAATTAATTTAGATGAATACGATATTGACAACTCACTTCGAGTTTAGAGAAGAAAACTAATAGAACAAGATCGATTATTGCTGATTTTATCCTTGGCTAGACAGCATGAACGTTCACACGATGCTGCGGCTTACAGTATGATTCTACGCTTAAACTGAGATTGAAATAGTTATAATTATCAACTCGAGTTATAACTGGATCAACTTCTTTAGAAATTTTCTTATGTTTCAACTTTTGAAAAATAGTTTTAAACCCATCAGTGGTTCAAAGGTTTGAATTAGGCTGGCATTGAGATACTAATCTCGCTCGATATAATCACCGGTTAATACGAATTTTATTCTGAAATCCCTTTCAAAGTGGAAAAATATTCAACTCCGTTTGATTTTTTACCACAGATCTTTCTAGTTTACAGCAAGGTCAGACTGCGCTAAACTATTTCAAACCAATAAGGCTAGGTTTATCATCACCGTGGTGAATTATATAATTCTAATCCATAGTACTGACTCTTAATTTTCTAAACTCTTAAAGCAGTTAAGTACTACGAAAACTAGAAAGGTCTGTGGTCTGAACGGGCTTACGTGAAGAAAATATCACCAACTCTCTTTTAGATTTTCTTCGCTTAAGCATTGTTAAATGTACAAAATTGATTGTCGTACGCATAGCATGGTACTTGATAGAAACCGTTACTTAACTATCCAATTAAGAAATATGAAATCATTATTTTGGTACACAGCGCGGAGAACTGTAGCTACTAATCGAACTGAAATAGAAATCAAAATCGAAAAACTGTCTTTTAGTCGAAAATACAGGGGTAAAGTAAAGACATCCAATCAAAAATCAGTCAACGACCTTGATTTGAAGTTTAAGTTAAATATTTGGTGTTAAATATTTATCCTTTTCAGTATTCGAACTTATTCCTTTCTCTCTAAATTGCATGACTAACATTAGACTCCACCAGTTTTAAAGCAGGAAAACGATTGGATATGTCTAAGAGATGGATGATAAATTAGTCATCGTTTCGAGTCAAAAAAATTTGTTCGAGACATATCAAAAGCGAGACATGTCAAAAGTCGACCATCAATGCAATTTTTTGATTATATTGATTATAACTATTTGCACCTAGCGTGTCCTCTTGATGTATCTTAATCAAAAAATTCCGATTAAGATAATGTAAATAACTCACTGCTTTAGGCTACATTTGGATTTGACAAAGATTTATTTCTCCAGCAGTCAGTTTCATACACGAAATTCAGAAACATTTCAAAACAACCTTAGCATTAGAAGAAATTTTGCTTTAATTAGCCTCAGTGTCTCTGATTAAGTCTTTTTCTAAAAAGATAACTGTTAAAAGTACGAAAACAAAAGGCGCACTTATTTATAGACGGTATCTTTTTGCTTCGTTCAGGTCATTTCTGGAATTATCTAATAGTGTTGGATACTTTTACCAATAATTTGCTAATAATAAGTTGATGAAACATGTGCAGTTTTATATGAACCAATTTGATTTAGACATCTTTACTTTTGTTCGTTAGAACCCAAATAAATTTTTATTTATAGATGGAGGATGGAAAGGAGAATAAATTGTATTGTGGAGATCGCTAAAACAGTGAGCGGTGTTTAAGCAATTTTCCCATGCCTTTTATCTCGAGTTTTATTAACATTTTTATGCAACGATGATGCAATATTTATTCTTAAGTTTATTGTTTATGCAATTATAGACTAGTAGTTTAAACTATTTTAGATGTTTTGAATCGGTAAAGCAATGCGATGTGTGAAGTTCATGTTGTTAAATGTTTTATTACCTTTTTTACTTAACATAAATATATTTGTTCATATCCTATTAATTTCACCTTGTAATGGTAACAAGAATGAAGAAAAACGAGTATTTGATTTGAATTTTATCGATAATAAACGCTTTTCTATTGATGATTGTATACCACTGGCATTTGGTGATTTCAATGCAGATAAAGTTGTAGATATTTTTTGTCGAAATACTGAAGGTAAATTATTTGTCGCATCCGTGACAGTTCTCTTTGACTTTGATAACATTTCAGGAAATCAGATTCAAGTGTATCTTAATGATGACAAAAGTCCGGTATCCAAAGAAATATTCAAAACTACAATCCCGTATGTAAAAATACGACTATAGATAAAACATAATTTATCATTTTTTTATTGTGTTTTAGAGGAATAGTCTATGATGCCTTAGCGTCGGATTTAGATGGTGATAGTCAGTTGGATTTATTCATTTTATATAAGTCTGACGTAAATCAGCAATATTTTTCCGGTGGAGTATTATGGGGCAACCGAAAAATATTGAGTAAGTAACTCAAACTATCACCAGGTTTTATTGTTTTTTGCTCCAGACAGCAGCAAAAGCATGAACAAAGAGAAACGTTTTTGTCAATTCTACTCTTTGAAAAAAGAATTTCGTAAAACGATGATTTTACGTAGCTACAAGTAAAGATCAGACAGACGTTTTGTATGTGCTTGGTATTTTTCTCATTCGACATTCCCAACATTCCGATGTGCGTATTATATGCTCTGATATCTTAGTGTGCCGGATTCAGGACAAGACAAAATTTTAGTGGCGAACTAAATACCGAAAGTGAAATACGTTTTCTGTTTCATCTTTCTTTCTCTAATAGTTAAAATCTAGTCTTTTTCTCAATTTCGCTTTTTTTTCGAATAATTACGTCTCTTTTCTGAAATTTTTCAGATTCATTTACGGTGTTATCTTTATAAATCTTTTGAAGCAAGAGAGCTTTTATAGCAAGATAAAACCCAGTTGTCATCCTTTTGAAGTTGCAGTTTTTTCTAGTTGTTTCCATAAAATGTGTGTCATATGACGATATATTTCAGGTGAATTGCAAACAATATCCATTACGTTTCAGAATCATCCAACTGTATTTGAGTATGTTATGCTTAATTTATCAATTGTTTATTATATTTTGCTCTTGTTGTTAATTTTTTAGCGCTAATGGCGATTCTTATGTTGATCTGTTAGGCATGATGAGTACACAAAATAGCGATTTTAAACTAACAAGTTTATCATTGTAAGAACGTTTTTCTCATAATTTTTCTCTTAGCATATGTTTTTTCATCTTTGTGTAGGCGTAATCGATCAGTATCACCACAACAATTACAAAATATTCAGGAAAATTTATTTAAGGACTCCACACAAGCAATCGTGGATATGAATCATGATCTTTCAGCTGGTATATAATTAACATTTTCACTTTTCTCACTGGAACTAAAAATTCTCTGTCGTTTTCAGATTTATTTCTGACTGTAGACAATAGAAGTCGTCCATTATTTCGTGTTTTTCGATTGCCAATAACCGATTTATCATTAATGATGGAATATGAAGCACCAGATGCGGCTATTTATCATCTTTCAACATTCTCCGATATAGGTATTTTACTATTATTATTCATGTTGATCAATTTTCTTTCATTAGAAAAATTTATGATTTAGATGGTGATGGTGAACTTGAACATTTATTACCTCTTTGTATAGATAAAGATTGTAGACAAAGTAAAATTTATGTTCGAGATAATATGCAGGTAGAATATAAGACGTTTGCTTCATTGATAATCTATTGATAATATTTTTATTTTTTAGTGGTATCCATTGCCAATTAATTTTAATAATTTCACTCGATTTTTATTGAAATCAGAATTACCACCTCCATTTGATACAACAGCAATAAGCATTAAAACGTCTGATTACAATTTAGACGGTTATCCCGATATTGTTGTGGTGATGAAGCAAGGGTATGTTTTAACAACGATAAATTCATTATACAATTAAATTTTTTCGTTTTAGTCAAACTATGAATGTTCCAATCATCTTAGAGAATAAACCATGCACTGATAAAACGTTGTGCACATATAATAGAACATTTGTACCGCAAGTCGATGAAACAATGGTATCAGCAGCCACAAATACAGTTTTAGCTGTATTTTTTGATATATTAGAAAATGTACGTAATCTCTTCTGTGATGAAACGATGATTAAGAATTTTTTATGCTTAAAGGGTTATCCTGATCTTCTTGTTCTTCAAACACAACAAAAGAGTTTCAACTTAATTGGTTTTCATAATTCGCTACAGCAAGATGTTTATTTTCTCAAAGTAATGGGTAAGTAACTGTTCAATGTGAAGAAGTCGTATTATACTAAATTTTGCTTTTTCGTCTTGTAGTTATTAGTAGCTATTGTACTACTCATTGTCCCGACAATAAATTCGTATGCATATACGATTTAAGTTTGACTTTGATATAAAAAAGTTTGTTGCTGTATTTTAGCCCTATGGAAATAATCAACCCGGACCATCGATTAAAATGGAAACAACTACGATTTCAACAGGTTTTGCTGATAATTGGCAAAGACTGGCGGGTAAGAATTATATATATTTTCATAAATAGAAAACGAACAGTGAATTTCTTTTAGCTGTTCAAATGGCACAAGCTGGTCAGTTTTCACTGGAACTACCGTATGTAATATTTGGTTTAGGCTCTACGCCAAATTTTGTTGAAAAGCTTACTGTTGGTTTGCCACCGAATGAACAGCAGGTAAGAATGTCTAACGACTCAGTTGATGAAGTCAAAAGTTTAATTTTTCTTCTACAGCGAAAATTAGTTAGAACATGGACACAAATGATACCAAATTCGCAAGTTGTTGTAATTCCATCTCCTCTCCTGAATCCAGAAAAGTATGATATTTAAAATTTTCCTTCTTATTCAATGTTAATTCATTGTATCTTATTATAGATGGCATACTAAATTGTTTATTACACCAAGTCGAATGATTTTGCATACAGGAATTGCTTTGGGTGTCACATTAATTATACTTGCTGTTGTGCTTGCATGTTTACAATATCGTGAAAAGGTATGTCTCTTATCTAAAGTATATCTTCGACTATAACGTGGTAAATCGATTTTCTACTTGTTCTAAATTTGTATTCTAGATCGAAGATGATCGTGAAAGAAAAGTTCAAGCACAGGCATTCCACTACGATGCACTATAAACCATAAGGCTTCTGTTGTAAAATAGAACCACCATACTCGCATACTTTGAAAAGATGTGTTTTATTTCTTGTTTATGAAAGTACTTTTCTATTTTCGATGGTGCTTACTGTCATATTTTCCTTCTTGGTAGTTTTTTTTTCATTAAATGTCTTTCATCCCTTTTTTTTCTGACACATTTTCCTGTTTCTTTTACGTTAATACTGATCATAAATGGTTTAATTGGTTGATATTCCTCTTTTTACTCTCACATGTTATTCTGTCACCATTCCTTTAGTTCTCGAACAGTATCACACTGTGTATCTACATTTGTTCCTATTTTTCTTGTGTGCACGTAAGTTTGAATATAGAATGGATGACTTCGATCGATTTACTTTTAAGTCTCAAACAAAATAAATGTTTGCAACTAATTTCTTTTTTCTTGCTGTTTTTCTCGATGATCTCATTTGTTTTGATTGTATTTGTTTATTTACTTTTTGGCAACATGACAAGGAAAGAGCAGGATTTATTGTATGTTTCATTTTTGTTGTTTAATGTGAGGTTTATAAATTATAATGTTTACGAGGGTTTGGGAAAAATTTATGGTGTAAAGAGAGTTCTACTTTAGTGAAATCTAGGTAGAATAATTAAAGTAATTTCTGTTGAACGTAAGAAACAACTTGAAAAATGCTACAATTATTTAGTGTATCATTTTAACGCCAAGTCAATATACTTTTATAGAACTATCAGCCACGGAATACTTTTTATTATATTCAATATTCATAACATACGTTAGCTGTAACAATAAATCCTTCCAGTCTTTTTTATTTTTATTTGAATATCGTCTATTTCGCCAGCTGTTCCTTTGATACCATGTGCATTAAATGTAAACAAGTGATTTATTCAAATAGAAATAACATTTTTTTCTTTACATAATTGCATCTGATTCTATTACGAAGCGCTCATATAAATCGATGTATAATCAAAAATAAGGTAGGACAGCATGAAAATTTAGTATATTTCTTTTAGTTATGTATTTGATGCGAATCTTCAGGTTTTTTTGTTTTCAGACCGTCTCGGTTCAACACTTTCATTCGGTTCGAACAGCCAAAGATATATATACCGATGTATCTATCGTCAGAACTACTAAACCTTATGCCCATGGTTAAATTGTTTGTCCACTCAACACTTTTTGTTATCATTTATTCTTTGAAAATGCATCGAAAGCTAAAAGATAAAATTCATTTTCTTGTTTAACGGGATACATGAGGACGAACTTATTATTATATAAGATTGTTTATGGCACAAACTAACGAACTGAATGATCAGTCACTGTTATATTGAGTGTGTGCCAAATTATTTAGATTCGAAATTACTTTTTAAATTATTGAACGCCATTCATAGATACAAAAAAAGTAATAAGCCAACAAATTCTAAATATTAAAAATCAAATCACCCTTTTAATGGCTTTTTAAATAATAAAATAACATCAGAAAGCGAAAGCTTTCGATATATTCTTCCTTCTTTTTTCGCTTCTCAAGAAAAAAGGAATAATCTCGGATTTGGGCTGTCAGTAGTAATTTGCTTCGGTTTCGTTCCTGAAAAGTAGAGTTTTGAAAACTATGACATTAGAATAAGGATGAATGGTTTACGGTATTTCCCTTTTATCTCAGCTTGTACTTCTATTACGTGCAAAACGTATTTTGCTTGTAATAAAGTATTTATCCTGTTTATATTTTCTAGTAACAAACCAGAATTGTTATGATGATCGTGGCCACCATGTCTACTACTTTTGAAGATTATGAAGCCATTCGTTCCTCATTTGCAAATACCAAATTGATTAATGACAACAATACGTCTTGCATAGCTGTAAAAAGATAATTTAAATTTTGTTCCTATTGACCGATTGACGTACTGCTATTTTTAGATTAAATCGTACTTGAGACTCCTCGAAATATAAAATGAATCATATAGTAAATGTTTTTACATTCTTTTGAAATATAGACAAAACTATTTTCTTATTTTAATATAACGATATTTTTGATTTCCGATATTCAGTTTTAATATAATCTAAAAACCAGACTTGTCGAAGATCATAACAAAATATTTTTTTTATAAAAATTGTATATGCTAGATTAGATTTGAAATTAATTGTATGATCAATTTTCTCGTCTTAATCTATATTATTGCAACCAAATACACATGTGTGAACGGCATTATTCATCAGATCACTTACTTCTTCCATGACTGATCCATTGAATCTGAATTATTTAATTATGACAAATGAAAAACTATTCTTATTTTTACTTCGCTGATAAGACTATATTATAATCATTTTTATTAAGCTTATCTTTTAAGGCGATAACATCCATTTTGATATTAGTTAGTTAGCACTATGAAAATTTTATGGAAAACTATTTTCGCAATGACTGTCAACGATTCTGAAACAGTGATATTTTATAACTCCATGTATTTTTGTTTTCTGTTTTTTGCATTTATGCACTTTGATAATTAAAATAATATCAAAAAATAGATTGATATAAAATAAAGTTTATTTTTGTTTAACTTTTTGTCTTTTTTTGTCTTTTGCACAATACTATATACGCTTGAGATTATATTTTTGTTTTACGTACTATTATTTCTTATAACCGACTTTATTAATGTTATATGAGACCCACTTTCTTTCCATTTGCATGTTCTCGACTCTTTTTGTTGCGTTATTGCGTGAATTTTATCAACTACAAAAGGATGATAATGATTAACAGGAGATTGGTATGCCAGACAGATAATTAGTATAAATTCGACCTGAAGTAGCTGACAATCGTTTAATCGATTTTGTATTTTCCGTTTTTTACCGAATCAAAGATTTCAGGAAGACTCAAAGTGTGCTGTAAATATCTTCGATCCTAGATAACAAGATATATAAAATAATTCTTAATCCAAACAAGACTGGAATTTTTATGATTAAAATATTTATCCTCTAGCAGATAAAAGTTTAGCCTACTTTTATTTTTATATTCAACGTTCCGATTGCTTGCCGAAAGCGAACAGCTAGAAAGGACAAAGAGATAAAACAGACTGTAACACCCAATATGCTTTAATCATTGCGCGGTAAAAAATAAGCAAAGAAATTGTTTTTATTTACTTTACTTTGTCAAACTAAATGTAGGAAATAATCTTCCTATCATAGGATTTAATACTATTCAAATGGTTTTTTTAAACATAGTTCTCTCGTAAGTCTCACTCGTTTTATCCTCAATAAAAACATATATATAACGTTTCTTACGATTTTGAATTAAAAGTTGTACGACTTTTACCTTGCCCTTTTTCAATACTGTTGGATTTCCCTAGAATATCGCTGGTGTACTTGTTTCTTTATTTTATCTATAACTTTGCAATCAGATCAGCTGGAAATCATTTTGAAGAGAAAATGTTCTCTTATAAGAATTACTTGTTTACGCAATATCGTATCGCAAATTTGAGGTCCGTTTTCAAGTCTAAATAATTTTTCAAAAATCCAGTTTTTCTGAAAAGATTGTTAAGTTTTGTTCTACTAAAAATAGAAATAACGCAGTTTTGTTCAATTTCTTATGTTCTATCGGATAGTGTATACAAAAGATTTATCGATTTTTAAATTGAAAGAATTTTAACTATCGTTAACGCTAATACTACGAAAACTTCAAATTTAAAACTCAACTAAAGATGTTTTTGAAATATTTGTTTATCAAAATGTAGTTAATATAATTTTCCAACAATATGTATAATTCTGATTTTGTTTTATGAACATTGAATGCAGGGATCTCAGATCTTCTAATTTTGGCAGAAAAATTCTGATTTTTTGAACTTTTTTTGCCTCATTTGTACTCTTTTTGTTCAAAGGTCTATTGATTTTCTGTTTTTGAACTTCTTCTAAACAAAAGTGTCACAAAGTAGACTTTGGTATTTTCACGTTGTAAAATAAATGTCATGACACAGTTATTTTTTAACAGTATATATCTTTAAGAAGAGAAAAAAGGTAGATATTTTAAAGTATAAGCTTCAGGGTCTATTGAGTTTTATTCACATAACGTGCACAAATATATGTAGATTAATTTTCTTACGTGTCTGGTTTCTGAATGAATTCAAACCATTTCTTAACTAAATTCTGTGTGGTAGTCCATGCTTGAAAACAACGTAACGTTGTTTTCATTTACTTTCTACTATCCATTTCAAAGTAAAAAGTACGCGATTGTTTTCGGAATAAAACTTCGGAACAAACGATAGCAGAGAAAGGTGAGAAAACCTAATGAGCATGAGTTTTAAGAGAAAATCTTTTTAACAGGATTAAAAAAGTAAAAATGGTTTGTTTTCAGGGATTTTATAGAGAACTGTGTAAGGAAAAAGATGAGTTCTAATGTTTCAATGTATTCATCTGATTGATCATGTATTGAAAATTTAAAGTAGTCTAACAGGATTTTCTAGTTTTACGCACATAATTAAAAGTGAGATATTTTTCCTCAAAACTCGTATTCATTACATTTTCTTACTTTCTTTTGTATACAAACATTCCCACGAGATTCAAGATGATCGATAACCTATGTCTTCACATATTTGTAAGATTCTAAACCCTTATTTATTTTTGTTCTATCAAAACAAAAGTCTAATAAGATTTTTGAAAACCAGTCTGTTGGAATTTGTTGAATATGGTAGATATGAAATTTCAAAATAATTTATTCATAGGAGAATCGATAGCCCCAAGTTTTTACCGAGAAAATGCTCAAAACTCAAGATCTTTATTGTCTTTAATTTTGAAATTTATTCATAAAACATTTTGAAATGGATAGTAGTAGTAATCGCATAAAAAATTTAATTACATTAGATTGTAGTTATAACTGAAACAACGAAACTGTTATTTGAAGAGTGACAGCGCATATATGTGTATATTTTAATTTATTAGATTAAATATCGGGTAAATTTATCTTAAAACTTCTTTTTCTATTCCACTTGTCCATCGAGAGAATGTGTGCTCGATAATTTTAATATACAAAATCGCTTTTTCTTTCCTATGCGTACGTATATTAATATTAATTCTTGCACTGTTATTCTACCTTTTTTTTTAATGGCAAAGCACATTATTTTTGAGCTCTTGAATGGTCATCATCGAATAGTGATATATTTGCGTAAGAAGAAGCCTAAGAATATACATAGAAGAAAAAAAAAGATGAAAATAAATCATGAAGAAATAAAACGTAAAAAAACGAAAAAAAATATAAAAAAATAAAAAAAAAGAGCAGTAAAAGAAATGCTATATAATAATAAAACTTATTTTTTAAAAGTCGATCGTGTCTGATACACATAGAAATAATCCTAGTAGAATAGAATAAAATAGAAAGAAGTCCCTTTTTCAAAAAAAAACATATAACGTACGATAAAATTTATTTGTATACATTTATTTCTTCATACATTTTACAATGAGTTTCAGTCAGGGAACACATTCCGATTCTGACATATATCCGGGTTCTGACATATATCACTTGTCCGATGAAAGAATAGGTATGTTTTTTATTTCAAATCTCTTTGAAATCATCGAGAGTGTATAACTCAAAGCATGTTTGGTCTCCGAGTAAGTCAAGCATGTTAGAGAGAATTTGAAGCCATACAATAGATGTTACAACTCACTTCCCAATAATCTTCGCTATTATAGAACTTTTAAAGTTCGAAGTAACAAAAAACTGCAAAGTAACGTAAAATACTTCAAACATCTGGTTATTTTCACAAAAGATACCATTAATTCCCATTATGATGTATGCCGATTTTTATTCTAGGGTTCGAAAAAGCCGCCCCATTACTTATTGCTGGTTGTAGCTGTATTGTGTTTGTATTTATCCTAGGTTATATCCTTTGTAGCTGGGATATACGTGCCGGAAACAGTAAGTTTGATTTTTATTTTTGAAAAAAGTATAATAAATTTTTTTGTTTCATTTAGAAAGACGTCAATTAGGAGGTCTTCCTCCGATGTGATCAACAGTGGGTTCTTACAAGTATTCACAACCGTTGGATAAAAACATCATAGATTAGAGAGTATATTGATAGGATCGGAATTTATTGCATGAAAATCTTATATTTTTCAAATATAGTAGACGTAAAATGAATTTTTTGTAGTTGAATTTTTGTTATTTGTGGCTTCTTTCTAAATATAAAATACATTAAAAAAATTTTGTGAGAGAGAGTAAAAAGATAATATCTAATAGGAGGAACCACTTGGAAAAACTTAGATTAATTGCTGTAGTTGGACAAATCGCTTATGATCGAGCAGGAATAGTCCAAATTTATCAGAATATGATATTATGAATAAACAAAAAGGAAAATTTATGCATTCAATTTCTTACTGCATGGTTATATTAAAGTCATTTATTTAACAAATAAAATGATTCTTTTCTCTGATCAAAATGTGACTCCTCTTCTGCTATGTTATCTAATCAGTGACAGATTTAGGAAATGTGTGCCTGGTGCTATCGCACCCCAAAAATACACCATTGGTGCTTCCAGTCTCAAAACTTCGAGCAGTTGTACTCTTCTCTCCTTTAAAAAATCCTGGATTCGCTACTGCATCTAATCAAGAACAAAGGACTACTTCTATTCTCTAATACTTTACGGCTACTGAGTAATTGTAACATATGGTGTAAAAGTAATGGCAATAATGTCAAACTCTGTTAGACCGTATTGCCGACTTCTAAACCAATCAGACTTTTTTTTGTTGGAAAGAACAAAGTCTGAACTACACGTATTGTACCAGACATATTTTTTCAGAACGAATCTGAGGAGGAAAAGTCAAAACCAAACATCCGAAAAAGTCCTTGCAACTTCGCTATGGAGCAACATCATTTTCAATTTTCTATTAGTTTGTTTTCATCAGAAGAGGAATGAGAAAACACGTTAAATGATGATTTTTGTAGCATAAAGAGTGCTCTTTCCAATGGTATATTGGAAGTTAAATTTACTCTTGAGTTTTGTACCAAAATACAGCTTTTTCTGAAAGAGACTAAATAAGTTGGTCGTTCTTACTACCTGACCGTTTTGCAACGATAAAAAATCTTTTTGGAATTATTTTTTTTACAAAATTTCTACGATCGGACATATTTCTAACAAATAACGCAAAAAGAATTGAGTTCATGCATGATTTCTGAAGGTGACGGCTGATTTTCTTGCAAAGTGATAGTTTTGCAAAAGACTCGATTTTACAAAAAAATTCATGTTTAAAACGTTTTTGATTAAAGAGTCAAGAACGGATCTAAAAGTTTTATCAATGTTGATATTGATAGAGTATTTGATCCGCTACATTTTGGTGTATTTTTTGTTCAAGTTTGATACATGGAGCTCGAAATATTGAGAAATACAACCTTTCAAGTTTCAAGTTTCAAAAACGCTGCCAGGACTTTTTCAGAGGTGTTTGGTTTTTGACTTTTCCTCCTCAGATTCGTTCTGAAAAAATATGTCTGGTACAATACGTGTAGTTCAGACTTTGTTCTTTCCAACAAAAAAAAGTCTGATTGGTTTAGAAGTCGGCAATACGGTCTAACAGAGTTTGACATTATTGCGATTACTTTTGCACCATATGTTACTTGATTAACTCTTGACAGCTGTTCACCCTCGATAGCTTTCTACGGGTTCGGTTAGACTCGTTTAAGAAGCAGTGAATAAGCCCCAACTTTTTACTTTTTCTCAACTTACCATGCATGGATCGAAAGTCCTTCCCTTGCACAAGAAAAGCAGACGTATGATTAGAAAAAATAATGTATCAAAAAGATAAATATAGACGTAGTAGTCGAGGATTAAAATTGAAACTAGCGGTCATTCACCAGTAGAGATCTCCACGGGCACGGGCAGGCTTGAAAGACACAAGGACGGATATGGACGGGCAACTGCTTCCCTTCGACGGGCACGGGCTTCTCAAAAAGATATTTTAAATTTTCTGGGCAACAAAATGGTACGAAGATTTGAATTTTTGTGAATGAAATATAGACAGTTAGAGACATGCTACAGAAAGGACAACATAGTATACACGCGTGGACGAGAAAATTTTTTTCATATACGGACTATTCATATACGAAAAAAATTCACAGACAAGCACGGGCAGCGAAAAACATTCACGAACAAGCATCCTCAGTAGGGTTACGGGCACGGGCAAAAAATCCTGCTTGTGCAGATCTCTATTCACAACACATGCATTGATCGTGACTGAAGGCTTTCATCATACATTCACATTTTACTAATTAACTACCGTCTAAATTTATAGAAAGAAAAAAATAAAATTTATCTTCGCTCAGGGTGCATCACTCTACGAAGTTCTTTCTTTTGTTCAGAGAGTAGAATTGATTATTTTGTATTATAATATAACATAGCGATGAACCTCAACGATTCTTTGAATACGTACTATATTCATTTTAAATTCAATTTCATTCAAAAAATAAAATTGAACAACGGATTGATTAACCTACATATTATTATATTTATTTCCAGATGTCACTTCAAAAAGTCAAAATTCTATCGTTAGTTCTAATACGGCAAAGTGATAAGTTATTACTTGGTTATAAAAAACGCGGTTTTGGTGCGTCGAAATATAATGGATTTGGTGGAAAACAAGAAGAAAATGAAACGATATTGGAATGTGCACAACGGTATTATGTCGTTGAATTTTTTTAAATTAAATCATTTTTGTGCCTATTTCTACTTTTTTAGCGAATTATTCGAAGAAAGTGGCTTAACATGTACAGATTTAAAAGAAGTGGGTAACCTTTTATTTGATTTTGATGATACACAAACACAATTACGAGTTACAGTCTTTTCTGGTCATACAATCTTTGGTAATCTAGTCGAAACAGACGGTATGCATAAATATAACCGTTAACATAGTATACTTACCTTTCTTTTTTTTATTAGAGATGAAACCACAGTGGTTTGATATAAATGCGCTACCGTATGATCAGATGTGGCAAGATGATGTGTTATGGTATCCGTACTATTTAAAACAGAAAAAATTCGAAGGTATCTTTCGTTTTAAAGATGAAGATGTAATGTTAACCCATTTTGTACGTCAAACAGAATAAACGTCTTTACTGAATTTAATTGAATAAAATATAGTGCGTTGGTATTGGTTGTATACAAGAACGAGAAAACAACTAAATTCAGTAATCCGATCCCTTTTTGCTGTAGAATGACAAAACAACAAAAAAAAAAAGTTAAGCAAACACTGGGTACTAAGGATTAACCGACAATTCCTTCTCGCTGATTCGTTTTATTTTACAGTTATATCAGCTTTCAAAAACAAATAAAAAATTATTCTACCTCACTCATCACAATTAAAAACAAAATTACACCTAATATGCCCCATTAAGATTAAATATTATCTATGTTTTCTGCAATTGTGATTAAATAAATATTTATGTTTTTTCTTCAATTTTTTTGAATATGAATGTAATATTAATATAATTTTGAGATAAAATTTTAATAATGATAGTGGATAACGATAGTGAGAGTGAGAAAAATAATATTTTTTACCTGCAGCAGCACCCATTGTCTCGTGTTTACAAGAAAGACGAGACAATTGCTGCTGCAGTAATCCCTAGCGCAATGTCTTTTTATAATAACCATAGATAAGATCATAATCGGTTAAGCACACAATTTGATAATCAGTACGAGTATAATCGGTATAATGAAAATATTTACGTTGTAAATCCAAACTATTTGCAGCCTAAACAAGAAAAGTAAATGAATTATTATAGTCAAAAAATCTTGCTATGTTGACTAGAAAAACAAAAAATTTACCGAAACACCAAACATTGTTGTTGTAAATTTGCCAGGATTAAACATTTCAACTACTTTTCGAATTAAATCATTGTATAATGAATATGGTGCATTTGTTTCAAAGCTAACATAGGAAAATTCCGGTTCTGGCGTTATATGAATTGTAAAATAATAACCATCAGGCATCAAGCCATTCATCGAATAGCCGCCTAGTCATAAAAAGAAAAGGTTAATATTGAAAACAAGAAAAATAAATAATTAATACAAAAAGCCATACATGGTTCAAATAAATAATCATATATTTTAGCATTTGGAAATATTTTATCTATACCGATTTTCTAAATGAAAAAAAAATGAAATTTTAAATATCATATCTTTTCAATAGATTACATTGTCACCGGGTCAACAAACAACTAATTTCAAATGACAATAAAACCTACCTTTGTAGCTTCTGTTGCCGACGTTGTATTATCTTGATAAAATATTTTCATAATTTCTGGATCAAGATCAGTCATTATAACTTCTAATGTTTGATCTAACTTTTTACGCTCACATGGTTTATCGAGTGTATACAAATACCTGAAATACAGTCGATTATACATAAATAAGGGATATAAAGAGGTTTTTTTTCTACTAAAACTATGTTAATCAACAACATGCAATGATAAAAAGTAGTATGGAAAAGAAATAAAGACACAAAAAAATGGGAACAAAAATAGCTTATAAAATTATCACATGTTTTATTTCTTTATTGTAGTTGTGAATGATCCGATAATTCATTCCAGTCTTTTCGTTACGACGAAAATTCATACTAGTCTTTCATGGTTCCGACAATTCGTTTCAGAAGTTTTAGTCATAGAAAGTTCGTCTTAGACAAAGCGTCACATGATATTTGTCTCATCCATAGAATCAGACTATTCGTCTCATACGTCGAAGACTGTTCGTAACACAGTGGAATTACACTGTAAGACGAATTGTTATAGTAGTTGTAGTTGTAATTCTCTAGTGTCTTCTATAGTCATTATAATTATTAACAGCAGTAACGCTGTAAATACATCAAAACCAAGGGAATATGAATATAAGGTAAAAAAATTGCAGCCCAACTTCTTTCAACACAGTTTTTTAAAGTGAAAATAGTAGACCGTAAGCTGACTTTTGTTTAAATGAGCTCTAAAACGTGTAAGTGAATAATCGACAAACAATAGATGATAGTATATTTTTTGCTTCGCTACAGTAAGTCACAACAATAAGTTCAATTTGATACGGCTCATGAATTTACTTGATATAACTCACAGACAGAGATAAATAATATCTCATAAAAAATAGCTTCAGGCTCACGCATCAGTGAAATATATTTGGTCAACTGAATAAATCTTTCTTCGTTCTGACGAGCATAAAAACAGTTTTCTTTTCATCCAATTCTCACTACATAAACAACAATGGGAGAAATACTAACAATTACGCAGACATATCAACAACTGACATTGAAATAAATCAGAATATTACAAATAGTATTTGGTTCGATAAACTCATTTTTAGTTAAATGTTACTATATGAATGATAATTTGCAAAGCGTTAATAAACTACATTCAACACAATGTTTTCTACGAGCAGCTAGAGCTCGTATCTTGTAGAACACTGAAGCTATAACCAAAGTAAGGTTATACTCATAAGGAGAATATAACTATTTTCTTAGGTTCACACCATGAAAAATAACTTAAGACAGGAGAAAGAAAGACAAAGATACAAAAAAATCACTGAAAAAAAAATAAACAAAAAAAAGACCGCCACTACCCCTAAGCGAGCCTTAACAGCAGCCTAGGTTTAAACAGCTTTTTACAGCTGTCCTCCCGACTAGCTTTTACAGCTGCCAGAGTTCATGAACAGGCCCGGCACATGAAACAATGCTTACCCGACCATCTCTTACCCTGTTTTATATAAATCTGAATTCCTTGGCGGTAAACATGTAGTGTGTGTGTATGCGGTACAGTAAATGTAGATACAAATAAATTTTGTATGTAGAAACACGCATTTTCGAATTCACGATGTATTTAGCCGAAGCTAACAAACAAAATTAAGCATTAGTATTCTGGTAGAGAGTAAATAGATTATAGTCCCATTTATGACTATAAACAAAATACAAACACAAAAAAAAGGTTTTGCTCTACATCATAGAAAGTAAAACAAACTCAACCTCTTCTGATACTATCATAATTCTTCATTTTGTCTGCAGTCAAATACAAGCAAAAAAAGAAAAATCGATTCTACTTACCAGCAATCACGATTAACACGGCCCAAAACATAGGCACAACCTCCTATATAGAAAAAATGATAATAACGTAATCCAGCGTAACACAGAGAAAGTCAAAAACAAACCTTCAAATAAAGAATCAAGATATGCCACCTCGTTTTCGAAATTTGAATGTGGGCCTTTTTGCAGATCAGAGCGTAAAAATTTTCGTCTACTATAGAATATTTGCTGGAAAAAAGAAACAAAAATCATTTCAAGTAGAATGAAGTGTATAAAGAGAACTTACATCAACCATATCAAGACCAGCGTATTCACGAGCCAACTCTAATATAGGTTGAACCGCAGCTAGAAGAGTTGTTGCTCCACACGTTTTTAAAACAAGATGAGTTTTCCAGATAAATGCACTACTTTCACTGAGTACATATGTATCCACTTCTTTTGATTGTGCGAACCGTAATACTTTGCAATTAACCAGATTTAATACCTCTTCGATTGCATCACTAGAAAAGAAAATTTTAATTATATAATGAATACAAATTTTAAAAAAATAATTCTCTTTAAACGTAGGAGGCATTTAATAATGTGAAAATGTAGACGGATCATGGAAGTCAGATATTTGTGACTGTCATTAACTTTTATCAGATTGATAAAGTTTAGAAAACAAAAGCAAATAGTCTAGTCTTGTTTCGAATGATGTATTAATAACAAAAGTTAATAAACTCACCGTGGTATATGTCTCAAATCGTTTCTTGTTGTTAACTTAGTTTCACTTGTGTCAAACCAGATTTCTAATAATTTTTCTGCACCTTCGAAGAAATGGTCTGTCATTCGCGTTACGCAAAATACGTTAATAAAAAACAAGTATAAAATAAAGTCGGCAACAAAAAATATAGGATGATGGTAGCGGTTGTAATAATTTCTTTTTTTTGGTTAATGAATATGTTTTCGAACAATATTATATATCTAGAGTATAAATATATATATTTACGATGCTTTTCCTAGAAAAATAGAGAAAAAAAAAGAGTAGAAAAAGAAAATTAATATCGAAAGCACAAATAATGTACGATTTTCATGACGTGTTTCTTGTGAGAGGAGGAGGCCAATAGGGGTCTGTGTAAATATACTTACATATAGTTGAAAGAAAAAGAAAAGCTAAATAACATTTTGTATGTATTATCTTTTTTTTTTCTGAATGTGCATATACACTATTCTTCTTCCTTTCCTTCTAGACCTTCAAAAGTACTAATATTTTTCGGTAGTTTCGAAAGGTATTAAAGTTGTATACAAAAAGAGAGACACCCAATTTTTACGTCGTTCTTGATTCAAGAGAGAGAGAGAGAGAAAAGAGAGCAACAGAAGCTCTACGCTTTGTCATTCTTTTTCTATTTTTATGCTTATTCATCATAGCAAAGCCAAGAAACAAGTATGCTCGATAGTTGGTGTGACTTGTAGAACACTACTTATATAATATATTTTTTTAAGTAAACAGAAAATAAATTTTTTTCAATAATTGAGAAATTGCCATAGGAGCAAAAAAAACAATTGTTGACTGTCATGTAGTGTCTTAGTATGTTACATTTTAATGAATTTCCAAAATATGAATCCCTAGAGTCTCAAGAACGCTCTAGCGACTTCTTTTTGGAACTTGTGAGAATTTGCATCCATTTAAGAAGTTCACGACACTTAATTCATTGTTTTGTTTTGTTCTCTTACATACTATATAAGAAACATCAATTTATTGAAAAGATCATTCGCTAAGTGATGGGTCATTAGAATGTCAACTTATCTATTGATATCTGGTCGTAGACTGTCAGGATAATAGCATATAGGTGACATTTCAACACTTAATTATCCATTTACACAAAAATCCCACGTGTAAACTACTAAGAAACTCCGTATTGCGATTGTCTTGTGAGTTTATCAAGGCAGTTGTCAGAGATATTTTTCGCCTATCAACTAGGGTAATAAAAACCAGAACTAAAAGAAAATGTTAAGAAAGTAGGTTAAAACTTCTCTAAATACTTTTGCTAAACTTCGTCTTATTTATGAAATTGTTTAATGAGTTTCCTAGTTATCCCACTTATTTCATACAATAAAAAAGATTATTTTCAGCAGATTGGAGAATCATACCACTTAAAACTGAAAGTTCAATAGGAACCTGAGTGTCAAGATACTGTGTACATATCTTAACTCGCAATATTAGAAAATTCTTGGCATTGGATGAAATTTGAAAAATTCCTGTTATGTAACGAAATTTCATGTACAATCAGGTCTATTTTCTTCATATGAATAAACATAACACAACGGGCCTACAAGCATGGTTTATTGTCTATTTAATCAAAAACGAGCTGCAGCTATATTTAAGCAAAGACTAAATTAAATATTAGGTTCTTCTGATTAAAGTAAATATCACCAGCACCTGAGTTTGCTTAAGTTCTATTGTCAACCATATCATCTCTTTCTCATGATAGCGCATATTCACCTTGATTCAACAAGGCTTAAATCAACAAGGCTTAAATGGACTATGTACTATTTTAAGCAACAAGTCAAATTCGTGACAAACGAAACTTAAGTAATTGCGTACGTCATGAGTCAAGCTGAAAAAACAGATAATTTCGAGGGCTCGTTGTAGCTCAGTTTTGATTAAATAGACAATAAACCATGCTTGTATGCCCGTTATGTGGTATATTTATTCATATGAAGAAAATAGACCTGATTGTACATTAAATTTTGTTACATAATAGAGATTTTTTGATTCTCCAACAAATTTCATCGAATGTCAAGAATTTTCTAATATTGCGAGATAAGACATGTACACAGTATCTTGACACTCCCGTTCCTCCTATTGAATGGTGGAAATTGTGCTTTATTCTAAGATCAACAAACTTTCAAATTTTGTTTGACTGAGAAACGATTTTGAGCAATGAACTTTCAGTTTTAAGTGGAATGACCCTTCAATCTGCCGAAAATAACCTTTTTTATGGTATGAAATAAAGAGATTAAACCAACCAAAAGAATCGATTTTGCTGTAGAGTACTTAGTATGTAAAAGGTTTACAAATGTTTATGGAAGGTGATCCCAATCATTTCTCTAGAGTAAGACCTTCATGCATCAATGAGAATTAGGATCAAAAAGGAGACGAGACACTGATTTCCCTGGAATTTGTGACTTTCGATCAAAAATTTTGACGTGAGTTGTGACATTGACGAAAGAACTGTATGGCGATTTTTTGTGTTAATTTAGATATTGAAAGAGGAGTAAATCTCTTTTGACTTTGCAAAGTCTGTCTTCCTTCTCTAAGTGTTCACATGTGATTAGATAATTTTTAAAAATTTATAGAAATGAATAATTCGTAAGAAAAGTCAGAAAGATTCGTGGATATAAGTATGGATCGAATAGAAAAGTTGCCCATGCAGATCTGTAATGGATGCGCAACTATATGGCTAAGATATGACATTTCTATGTTACTCATTGTTTTCCATGGGTCAGGTTTTCGTGAGCCTAGATTCATCGCAAAAATAATGAACCAATATCATTCTAAGTGGATCTGACTGCGATCTAATGTAACACAGAGTAGATTTGAGTATTATGAAGAAGAGCATAAAGAACGTTTTATCATATTTTCCCTTATTATTTGTATCGTGTGTTTGCGCTTGTTTATCTTTTGTTCTTTCTTGTTATCAGCAACGTACGTCGCGTTTTTTGCACTACAATCATAGGTGATTCTCGAAACGTACATGTACGTTTTATTTCAGACTAGCATTATACACACTGGATTGAAGTAGAGGTGTTTTTAGTCTTGACCCTAACTGCAGTACTGTCAATTTTCTTTTATCTATAGCCATAGAAAGAAAATCACAAATAGTTCTACTGCCATTAGAAGTGTATAGTGTTAAGCCGCAATATCCACTGGTTAGGGAAAAGGCATGGAGTTCAGCCGTCCTGCACGTGTTTATAAAGAACATTTTAGTTATACTTTTCATTGTTTTAATAAACTTTTGTACGAAGCGATTAGAAAAGAAATGGTATTTCTCAAAGAATTTAAGACATTTTGCTCACGTTACTAGACATGTGCGATTGTGTCCATGTGCAAGCAAACTTTTTGATAGGCATGGGTACAAAAAAAGTGGAGGTACAAATGCCTACATAACATAATACATTTATACAGAAAAACTCTCACTCGAAGACAGAAAGGTGAGGAAATTATGTAAGTTTTTATCACTTTTACCACCAGACCATGATTAAAAAAATGTCATCTCAGTCTAGTAGAAAAATTTCTTTTGATTCTGTTTCGCACACGTTCGTACCATAGGCTGGAAAAAGAAAGATCTTCTTTTCTTTCTCTCATCTTTCTCTTCGTACAGAATTTGAAGAAACTATAAAGATTCTTGGAGAATTGTTACTGTTTATATATTTTCAAGTTCTTAAATATATCAAAAGGAAGGTAATTTTCTTTTTCGAAGTTATTAAAAATGATCACATTGATAAGTTAAGTTTACTTGTCTACAAAATAATTTAAAGTAAACAGAAATCAGCGTACTTATGAGACGTGCAATTCAACTATGCATATAGTTTGAAAGCAAGGATAGTGTTTACTTTGTTTTTCTATAATTCTGTCATTTAGAACATATATTTTGTTAAAAGTGTTGTGAAACGACTAATTCTTATGATGCTTAAATTTGCTAATGTTCTAGATGTTATTCTAATAGTTTTTTATATTTTATCAGTCCTCTTCAATTCAAATAATTTTCTTGTCTTTCTTTATACGAATAATTAATTTTTTGAGTTATTGCTGCTAAAAAAAATGTTGAGTGTTAATCATGAGCCTGATGATGAAACAACATCGATTGTCTCAAACGTTCCAAGTCCATCGCAAACACTTTCATCATCTACGGTTAAAACAAAAATATCAGAATTGAAAAAAGATTGGATTCGATTAAATGTAGGTGGAAAATATTTTATGTCAACACGATCTACACTATGTAAAGAAGAATCATTTTTATGTCGTTTATGTCAAAATCAAGAAGATCTAAAAATAGATACAGATGAGATGGGGGCATACATGATTGATCGTGATCCAAATTATTTTCACGTCATACTAAATTATTTAAGACATGGGAAATTAATTTTGGAAACAAATTTAGTTGAAGAAGGCGTATTAGAAGAAGCGGAATTTTACAATATACAACCATTAATTGAATTGATTAAAGAACGTGTTCGTGATAGAGACAAACGTCAAGCTGATTCAGAATTAGGAGTAAATTTTTTAATTTTTCTGATTTTAAAATAAGTTGTCGACTATATCACATAGTCTAACCATAGGTGATCGAGGACTAGAAAAATAAGATATCTCTAGTATAATATGACATCCTTGCCTACCTGACAGAGATATTTCTATTTAATCACAATTTCGTTACTTGTTGTTTGTTTTAGAATTCCCAAAATCGTGTTTATAGAGTTATTCAGTATCAAGAAAAAGAGATAACACAATTAATGAGTTCATTGTCCGATGGTTGGAAACTTGATCAATTAGTCAATATCAATTCACCATCGGGTTATATGTACAATGATTTGAAACATAGTGAATTTCTTTCTATTGTATCAAAACAATATGACCGTATTCCAAGAGAGAATGCAAATGCTTGCGTGTCAGAACGAGTTAAAGTAAGTTTGTTTTTTACTCTCTCTCTCTTTCTCCGTCTCTCTAAAAACAATATTAACATGCTATCATGGTTTAGATTCTTCAAGAACGTGGTTCAAGAATGTAATCAATCAGAAAATGATGTTTTATTTATATCGTTTATTCATCTGCATTTATTTTTCTCATATTCGTCAAATGAAAGTCATTTTAAACTTGTCAACAGATAATAATGACGGTTCACTTCATATCAGACTGTGCATCAGGAAATGAGCAATACAACTCGAAAAAAAAGTATAAAACAACAATTTGTCATTGTTTAACAATTTTACGGATATTATTTTTGCTTTCGTTACATGCTCAATATTAATTTAGTATTCATTTTCCATTAGTTGATTTGTTCACTCTTTGTCTCTACTCTGCTCAACCTACTTTTTCCTTATTAGCATTTATGAAGTCATTAACCATTCAAAAACTTAAAACTTTTTATTTGACATAAATTGATCGACGACAATGGAAATTTCGTACATACAAGTTGTTGATTTTCTTATTCAACGTACTATAGTCAGAGAATTTTTTTATCTTCATTCGTCAAAAATGAAAATTTTGTAAACATTTTTTTTTACCGTCTGTTTTGCTCTCATTCTTTTCAAAACGTTTCTCATCTTTTGACATCTGTACATTGTGCAATTATGAAGGAAGGAACTTTTTTGATCTGAGTGCTAGTCATTTTTCATCTTATTTTTCCATTTATGCTCAGTTCAAATTATATTTATGTTTTTGAAGTTTTTTTATTACATGTTCTACATTGGTATGAAAATAGAAGAAAAAAGAAAACTCTGTCTCTGACAATTTCTTTTTCTTACATCTGTATTCGGTATTCTGTGTATAACACGGAATAACTGATATAATGAAATTTCTTTCTTTTTTGTGATGTTATTGTGTATCATAAAATAAAATATTGGTACAATTTGAATTTTCAATTGATTCTTATTTTATCGAACTATCAATCATACTATTAGAAGGATCGCTTACAAAAGAGAAAGACAGTCAGATCCATCATTCATCAATGATGTAGTAATTATTTAAGAACACGTCATGTATTTTCGAAATTACATAGTTATTAAGTTTCATGTAGGTCCGTCATCATGAACTATCACAATTATCTCTTCTTTTATTTTTGACTTGACTCATAACTTACTCAATCATTAGTTTAGTTGGTCATGCATCATATTATGCAAAAATGAATGCTTGACATGGAGATAATATCAAATATCCTTGTCAAGAAGTAAAAAATTTAATGACTATCTAGATATTCAATACTGATGAAAGTTTCGATCTGCTTATAGCCTTGTTTTAATTTTTATTAAAGTAGTGTCTCCTCCATTTTCGACTCTTTACTGGGACATTTTCACATAGACTATTTGCAATTAATTCAGCCACATAATTAATAACATTCAGGAATATACATTAACTTTTTTTTAAACACTCTAATATTATTTCATTCAAACTTTCACATTCTTCCATGTTTTACATACAAAATTTCTAAAGACTTATTAGCAAAAGAGCCTGATTTTTCACAAATAATAGTTTATTTCAAATGCACTATTTAGAATCAGGACGAAAAACTGTCCTGGAGCTCTTTTTACTCATAAAATGAATATTAATTTCGAGGAGTCAGCCAAACCTTGGGTCCAATGTTAGAATCGTATATTCGCAAGCTTTTCTCTCAGAGCTTCTCGTTTGCATGTTAGATATGAGAAAAATTATATGATACGGCCAGTATCTCTGAGAGGCCGAGGGTATCGTTTCATTTAATATTCTTAAACAGGGTGGGTAAAATTGTGGCGGACAGCTTCTACCTAAAAATTATCGAATCACACGTGGATGCTTAGAGAAGGAAGACAGACTTTGCAAAGTCAAAAGAGATTTACTCCTCTTTCAATATTTAAATTAACACAAAAAATCGCCATACAGTTCTTTCGTCTATGTCTTTGATGGAAAGTCACAAATCCCAGGGAAATCAGCGTCTCGTCTCCTTTTTGATCCTAATTCTCATTGATGCATGAAGGTCTTACTCTAGAGAAATGATTGGGATCACCTTCCATAAACATTTGTAAACCTTTTTTTTGTTTATTTTTTTTTCAGTGATTTTTTTGTATCTTTGTCTTCCTTTCTCC